GTGTGAAAAAAATAAGTTAAGCCCTGTTAGATTTTCTATTGATTCTGATATGCTTGCCACTCTTAATGAGGATGGCCAAAGGAGTAAATTATATCATTAGTCAGAGGAGTGCTAAATCCCTAGGAATCTTACAGGCCTGGAGGAATAGGAAGGAATTAAATCATTATGAGGGGAGGGAGGCTAGATCCAGTTCCTTGGATCAAGAGCCCTCACTAGCCAGACACCTTTCTTGAGGGACCAGAGAGAGGCCTCCTTTTCTTCTTCCCAAGTGAACTAAGCTGAGGGCTCAACTTGGTAGAGTTGATTTGACAAGTTACAAAGACTGAAGCGTGTGGGTAAAATGACCAAGATGTCAACAACATTTCAGACAGGAGATATGGCAGGAAGTATTCTTATAAAGGGCCCTTATTAGGTACTCTTTTAACATTTACACTGTCTACCACATAGATCTACATATCCGATGCCAGTGTTGCTAACATAGAAACTTGGGGTGTTTTCTAGAATGGTTTTTATGCATTTCATTGTCTGTTTCTTGGTATCAATTCATAGTATATAAGACATATTAATGGGTTAGAGATAATTTTGGTTGATTTCAGGACAGGAAGTAACTTCAAATAGGGCTCACAGTAGTGGAGATATTCAACTTATTTTTCTGAGGAAGGTTAAAACATACGTACGTACGTGTGTGTGTACTCACCTAGTTGTACTCGCCTAGTTGAGGTTGCGGGGGTCGAGTCCGAGCTCCTGGCCCCGCCTCTTCACTGATCGCTACTAGGTCACTCTCCCTGAGCCGTGAGCTTTATCATACCTCTGCTTAAAGCTATGTATGGATCCTGCCTCCACTACATCGCTTCCAAAACTATTCCACTTACTGACTACTCTGTGGCTGAAGAAATACTTCCTAACATCCCTGTGATTCATCTGTGTCTTCAACTTCCAACTGTGTCCCCTTGTTACTGTGTCCAATCTCTGGAACATCCTGTCTTTGTCCACCTTGTCAATTCCTCTCAGTATTTTGTATATCGTTATCATGTCCCCCCTATCTCTCCTGTCCTCCAGTGTCGTCAAGTTGATTTCCCTTAACCTCCCCTCGTAGGACATACCTCTTAGCTCTGGGACTAGTCTTGTTGCAAACCTTTGCACTTTCTCTAGTTTCTTTACGTGCTTGGCTAGGTGTGGGTTCCAAACTGGTCCCGCATACTCCAATATGGGGCCTAACGTACACGGTGTACAGGGTCCTGAATGATTCTTTATTAGATGTCGGAATGCTGTTCTGAAGTTTGCTAGGCGCCCATATGCTGCAGCAGTTATTTGGTTGATGTGCGCTTCAGGAGATGTGCCTGGTGTTATACTCACCCCAAGATTTTTTTCCCTTGAGTGAGGTTTGTAGTCTCTGGCCCCCTAGACTGTACTCCGTCTGCGGTTCTTCTTTGCCCTTCCCCAATCTTCAAAACTTTGCACTTGGTGGGATTGAACTCCAGGAGCCAATTGCTGGACCAGGTCTGCAGCCTGTCCAGATCCTTTGTGTTCTGCCTGGTCTTCGATCGAGTGATTCTTTCATCAACTTCACGTCATCTGCAAACAAGGACACTTCTGAGTATCCTTTCCGTTATGTCGTTCACATTTCCCAAAGAACAACACAGGTCCTAGGACTGACCCTGTGGAAACCCCGCTTCTCACAAGCCCCCCCACTCTGATACCTCGTCATGTACCATGACTCGTTGTTGCCTCCCTGTCAGGTATCTCTGATCCATTGCAGTCCCTGTCCTGTTATGTGTGCCTGATCTCTAGCTTTTGCGGGTAACCTCTTGTGAGGAACTGTGTCGAAGGCCTTCTTGCGTCCAAAAAATGCAGTCGATCCACCCCTCTCTCTGTTGTCTTACTTCTGTCACCTTGTCATAAACTTAGTAGGTTTGTGACACAGGATTTTCCTCCTGAAACCATGCTGGTTGTCAATTATACACTTGTTTCTTTCCAGGTGCTCCACCAGTCTCCTCCTGTTTATCTAATTAGAGGAGAGAGGGTTTTGTGTGTGTGTTTTGTGGGTGTGTGTGTGTGAGTGTGAGGTGGTGTGTTTTGTGGTGTTGGTGTGTGTGTGTGTGTGTGTGAGGTGTGTTGAGAGTTGTGAGAGTGTGTGAGAGTGTGTGAGAGTGTGTGAGAGTGTGTGGGGAGTGTGAGTGTGAGTGTGAGTGGAGGTGAGTGTGAGTTGAGTGTGAGTGTGTGAGTGTGTGTGTGTGTGTGTGGGTGTGGGGTTTTGTGTGTGAGTGTGTGTGTGTGTGTGTGTGTGTGTGAGTGGTGTTTTGGTGTGTGGGTGTGGTGTGTGTGGTGTGTGTGAGGTGGTGTGTGTGGGTGTGTGTGTGTGTGTGGGTGTGTGTGTGTGTGTGTGTGGTGTGTGTGGGGTGTGTGTGTGTGTGTGAGTGTGTGGGTGAGGGTGTGTGTGTGGTGTGTGGTGTGAGTGTGTGTGTGTGTGTGTGTGTGTGTGTGTGTGTGGTGTGGTGTGTGTGTGGGTGTGTGTGTGTGTGTGTGTGTGTGTGTGGGGTGGTGTGTGTGTGTGTGAGTGAGTGTGTGTGAGTGTTGTGTGGTGTGAGTGTGTGTGTGAGTGGTGTGAGTGTGTGTGTGTGTGTGTGTGTGAGTGTGAATGGGTGTGAATGAGTGTGAGAGAGAGAGAGAGAGAGAGGAGAGAGAGGAGAGAGAGGGGAGAGAGAGAGAGAGAGGAGGAGAAAGAGGAAAGAGAGAGAGGGAAAGGAAAAGGAGACGGGAGAGAAAGGGTAGAGGGGAAAGGGGAGGAAAGGAGAGAGAAAGAGGAGGAAAAGAAAGAAAGAAAGGAAAGAAAAAGAGAAGAGAGAGAGAGAGAGAGGAGAGAGAAGAGAGAGAGAAGAGAGAAAGAGAGAAAGAGAGGAAAGAGAGAAAGAGAGGAAAGAGAGAAAGAGAGAAAGGGAGAAAAAAGAAGAGAAAGGGAGAAAAGAAAGAGAGAGAGAAAAGGAGAAAGAGAGAAAGAAAGAGATAAATAAAGAGAGAAAGAAAGAGAGAGAAAGAAAGAGAAGAAAGAGAGAAAGAAAGAGAGAAAGAAGAGGGGGGAGAAAAAAGAGAGGAAAGAAGAAAGAGAAAGAAAGAGGGGAGAGAGTGTGGAGAGTGGAGTGTGAGAGAGTGAGGTGAGAGAGTGGGGAGTGAGAGTGAGTGAGAGTGAGGTTTAGAGTGAGGGGGTGGGGAGAGAGTGAGAGAGAGTGTGAGAGAGTGTTTTAGAGTGAGAGTGAGAGAGGAGTGAGGAGAGAGGAGAGAGAGAGAGGAGAGAGTGAGAGTGAGAGTGAGAGAGAGGAGTGAGAGGGGAGTGAGAGAGAGTGAGAGAGAGTGAGTGAGAGTGAGAGAGAGTGAGTGAGAGTGAGTGAGAGAGAGTGAGAAATGAGAGAGAGTGGAGAGAGTGAGATGAGAGTGAGTGAGAGTGAGTGAGTGAGAGAGATGGAGTGAGAGAGAGTGAGAGAGTGGTGAGAGAGTGAGTGAGAGGTGGATTTAGAGAGTGAGTGAGAAGGAGTGAGGAGAGAGTGAGTAGAGAGTGAGTGAGGGGTTGAGAGAGTGAGAGTGGGTGATTGAGAGAGTGAGAGGTGAGAGAGGGGGAGTGTGTGTTGTGTGTGTGTGTGTGTGTGTGTGTGTGTGTGTGTGTGTGTGTGTTGTGTGTGTGTGTGTGTGTGTGTGTGTGTGTGTGTGTGTGTGTGTGTTGTAAGAACTGAAAATGGAGAGGAAGTGTTTTTAGAGGAGGGAACCTGGGGATATGAGTAATTGAACAGAGAAAAAGGTTGCTTTAGTAGCTAGGGTGCCTACATCATGATTTTGAACTCTGTTTTAAACAGGAATTTTCTGAATTTTGTATAAAACTGACAATCACTAATGAAAAACGAATGGGCACAAATAGTGAAAATCTAGAAAATGGGCAAATGAGCCCAACAGAATTAGCTTACAATAAGCGAGAAAAAATTGCTGATGCTTAAACTGCAACCAGAGGACCAACATTGCACCTGCATAATAACTCAAGTTTTCCATCAAATTTTGCATTTTTGGTGTCATTATCTTCAGAAAAAGGCTCTACCATTACAGAAAATATCTTTTTTAAAGCATGATACTGTCAGCACTTTAATTTCAGGGGTCACAATTTTTTTTTATTTATATATAACTACTAGTAAAATCTAGATTAATTGAATGGAGAGAGGGTGTCTGGCTATGCCCACTCTCTGGTAAATCTGAATAGACAGTTTTTCCAAGTTTATAACACTACCAGACAATTCACCCAGTGGGTCATAACAATAATGGACAATTCTGGAAACAACAAACTCTCTCTTGTTTACAACTTTGTCTATTGTCCAGATATTCTAATAAATCCATAATCGGTTGAATCAAAGTCCGTTAAATCTTGGCCCATCAAATATACGTCCATTAAATCAAGATTTTACTAAATTACAGACCTTTATGTTAGTCATACTTTAAAGTAAAGTCTTCCTGATTCACAGAATTAAAGCTACTTTTCCTCTCTTTGGATAAAACCTTATTACCTATTCCTAGGTCCTACATGACCACAAGTTACTGTAGTAACCCCTCACTTTAACAGGCATTGGGAATACAGGACAAACTCTACTGGGTTAACAGATTCAAAGCAATGGGCTAAATCTTCCAGTTACAGAATTTTCAGTTATTTTTGTTGTTACTACATCATCTCTACCCATTACAACTATCTTCTTCCCTATTAGTCTGCTATGTCAGGGTTTACTGTAAGAGAATAATTATAATTATTATCTTATACTAGTCAGGAAGAGTTGTAAATTGTATGGTGATAGACAAACTGTGGAACAGGACACTTGTGTACAGATCAGAACACTTACTAAAGGAAATGTATTGTTACAAGTGGCAAAACATTTCCCTTAATAAATGTAGTGAACTGCACACTAGTGTCCTTTTCCACACACTAGTCAGGAAGCAGCTCAAAAATCAATGTAGAGATGCATCGTGCTCACCATGGAACTGTGGCGGAATGTCCTGTGCAGACATAAGTACAACTAGAGGCTGGCCAAAATAGTGAGGCATGTTTGCAAATACTGGCGAGTTATCCGAGTCGACCACAATGAAGAGAGGCTTGCGAGTAAAGGCATAGAGGTCGCCAGGGTAGAAGCAATGCATATCCTTGAGTTGCAGCGCACGTTTGTTAGTGTGCTCGGGATCTCTCTTACTATTCGTTACCACGCCTCCATAATCGTAGCCAGCTGCAGCATTTAGCAGATGTTAGTAATGGAAGAGTTAAACAAGCAAGGAAAATACATACCCATTATTAACAACACCCAAAAACATTACTACTATACAGTACAGTATATACCTTGTAGTGACAATTAAAAGTAGCAGTATTATTTACTAAAGATGTTGAGGAAAAAGAAGCAATGGAGATACAAATACAATTAACTGAAGCAGAAAAAGAATGTAGCAGCATAATGGTGATACTAATAGTACATGATCAATCAATTGAACTCTAAGTTAAACCCCCAAAATATATTGGCTTTCTAATTCATGGAACTCAACTATCCAACATTTATACGGACAGGCAATATACAAATACGATCAACCTTCAGCAGTGCCCTTTTTGTGGGGACTTGGTCTACAACCTCTAAATTAAAAAATAACTAAGATTTTTTTATGCTCACTGATTTCCTTTACTCAAATCTCTTCTTTATGCTCTTCTTTCTCATATCAATATTAATCAGATTAGCACAGTATTTAAAGATGAGTACTCTCTGAAACATTTTTGCATTATTCATAAATCCTAAGTTTTTAGAACCTCTAGCAATATATATAATTGTTACCAAATTCATGGGGAAGCTCTAAACCCAAAGGGTTCATGCAGTGCCTGGGGAATGGGATGAAATTAGGATTGGTCTAAGGAAAGGGAGGGCACCTCCAAATCCTTGAATTAAAGAGTCCCTCACCAGTATCAATGTACCTCCCTTGAAGGGTCCAGCAACATAGCTCCCAGAGCCTGGGCAGGATACAGGGTCATCTTGTTAAAAGCATCATGGGGTAGGGTTTCCCCCCCCCCCTCTATTGTGATGGAACACATCACTGGGAGTATTTTCATATACTATTATACATTGTAATAAAGTTGGTAGAATTACCGACAATATGTAAAGTAAAAGGACACAAGTGCAACTAATGTGACATTTATTGTGGCAACATTTCGCTCTCAAGGATCTTTATCAAGCCATTACAAACAATACATGGACACAGAGGGTATATAAAGGCTCAGAGTGAGGTGTAATACTAGTGAGGTACCATTTCGATGTTCACTAGTGGTAGTAGTAGTGGTAGTGACAAAAGTAATACAATATGGTAGAGCAATTAATTCGTACATGAGTAAAAGGATATAAAAGCTATTACTTGGGTAACATAAAAATAGGTTGGACAAATATAGACTGGAATGAGGCAGCTTGTTTCAGTGTTCACTCTCTGTGCTTTGTGTAGTATAACAGGAGAGACTATGTGATGGCAGGGTTTACTGTTTTCAGGAGGATTCTTGCTAAGACTTCAGAGATGGTGAAGCTGCCGTTGTTTTGTTTAATTGTATTCGAAACAGCGATCAGTGCTGATTCGAGGCACTTGCGTCTGCGGAAATTAGTTTCTTTGATCACTAATTGGGCGTCTCTGAATTTCATGAGATGACTGGTGGAATTTCGGTGTTGTACACAGGCGTTGTTCAAGTTACCGTTCCTACATGCGTAAATGTGTTCATTGAGGCGGGTGTCGAGGTTTCTGGCTGTTTCACCTACGTAAATCTTGTCACAGCCTCCACATGGTATAGTGTAAACTCCTGCATTGACTGGTTCGTGGTGCTTGGATTTTGTCCTGGTTATATCCTTTATTGAAGTGCTAGAAGCGATGGAGACTCTGGTGTTAGCTTGTGAAAGTACTTTTGAGACGTTCAGTGCAACCTGACTGTTGGGAAGAATTATAACTTTGCTGGGAGTGGTGTTGATGCGTGGAGAACTTATGATCTGAAGAGCTCTTTTCTTGCAGTCTTTGATGAAAAAAGAAGTGAATGTTTGGTGAATGTATGTACACTCCTCGTCAAGAAACTCAGGACTACAAATTCGGTATAGCTCTTAGGAAAAACCCGATGATGATGCCTCTTTTGGTCTTGGTATCTTGACTGGAATAGAAGTGTGTGAGATCATTTTTATTGGTGGGTTTCCGATAAACTTGAAATCTTAGGTTGTTGTCTACTTTGTGAATGAGGACGTCGAGGAAAGGTAGCTTGCCATTGGACTCTTCTTCTAGTGTAAACTGGATCGCCGGTTCAACTGCGTTGAGCCTTGCCTGAAGATCCCGTACATCAAAACGTTTTGGAGTTATTACGAGGACATCGTCCACGTAACGTAACCAAGTGACGCTTGAAGGGATGATGTTGGTGAAGTGTTCGGACTCTAGGTGTTCCATGTATAAGTTGGCTAGGACAGCACTTATGGGGGACCCCATTCCCATGCCGTAGGTTTGTTTGTAGAGCTTGTTATTGAAAGAAAAACAGTTGAAATTAACACAGAGTTCAATTAAGTCAACAAAATCTCCGGAATGTGCCGAAGAACTTTCTAACATCGCTAAGAAAACCTTTGAAACTGCAAGGAATATGAGGGCCAATCTTCAGATTGACCAACACACTGCTGAGCATATTCTCAGCACAGTCACCACATCTAACCTCCAACAGAAGATCAAACTCAATCGCAAACTTCAGTACGTCTGCTCTAACAGTCGATGGAAGGAAATGGGACGTGAATCCCTGATAAACAACTTATTGTCACGCACCTTAACCGACTACGAAAAACAAGCACTGAGTCTGGGACTCAAATTTACCACCAACATACGCAAACCTAACTATCAACTCAATCTAGTTACCAGGAACCATAGACACAGTGACAGCAACTTCCAGAAGGGTAATATACAGGGCCTTCTCACTGCAGCTTTATGTGAACCTCCTTCTTCTAATCTTCCTACACGATACATCACTGCCCTTAAGAACCTCGCCAACGACCCCAACATTATCGTCACCACCGCCGACAAAGGAGGTGGAGGTCGTCATCCTCAACACCAGTGACTACAAACACTAAAAGATGGACCTTTTGAATGATCAATCTACATACGAACCATCAGCACTAACAGTTGGAGACGCTCACCAAAGATTTTCTATACAAAACCAGACAAATACTCAAACGCACTAGAGAAGGGAAGAAACTTCTGTACTTGTTACCAAGCAACCCTAAACCAGCACACATGTATGGTTTACCCAAGACCCATAAACACAATATTCCACTCAGACCAATCACGTCAGGAATAGGCAGTGCTCCACACAAACTAGCCGGAGTTCTTGCCAAACATCTTTCCTGCCTTCTGGGGACCATCAGCCCCGCTCATCTTAAACACTCAGGTGACCTTCTCAACCGCATCCGTAACCTCTCCATCCGTAACAAGAAACTAAGCAGTATGAATGTGACTTCCCTCTTCACAAAAGTACCTACCAAAAAAAGCCATCGAGGTTCTACGACGTAAAGTCAATCAGGACCTTAATCTTCCTCTACCTCCCGGAGATTTTGTTGACTTAATTGAACTCTGTGTTAATTTCAACTGTTTTTCTTTCAATAACAAGCTCTACAAACAAACCTACGGCATGGGAATGGGGTCCCCCATAAGTGCTGTCCTAGCCAACTTATACATGGAACACCTAGAGTCCGAACACTTCGCCAACATCATCCCTTCAAGCGTCACTTGGTTACATTACGTGGACGATGTCCTCGTAATAACTCCAAAACGTTTTGATGTACGGGATCTTCAGGCAAGGCTCAACGCAGTTGAACGGCGATCCAGTTTACACTAGAAGAAGAGTCCAATGGCAACTACCTTTCCTCGACGTCCTCATTCACAAAGTAGACAACAACCTAAGATTTCAAGTTTATCGGAAACCCACCAATAAAAATGATCTCACACACTTCTATTCCAGTCAAGATACCAAGACCAAAAGAGGCATCATCATCGGGTTTTTCCTAAGAGCATACCGAATTTGTAGTCCTGAGTTTCTTGACGAGGAGTGTACATACATTCACCAAACATTCACAGAGTTACATTTTCCTTCTTTTTTCATCAAAGACTGCAAGAAAAGAGCTCTTCAGATCATAAGTTCTCCACGCATCAACACCACTCCCAGCAAAGTTATAATTCTTCCAACAGTCAGGTTGCACTGAACGTCTCAAAAGTACTTTCACAGCTAACACCAGAGTCTCCATCGCTTCTAGCACTTCAATAAAGGATATAACCAGGACAAAATCCAAGCACCACGAACCAGTCAATGCAGGAGTTTACACTATACCATGTGGAGGCTGTGACAAGATTTACGCAGGTGAAACAGCCAGAAACCTCGACACCCGCCTCAATGAACACATTTACGCATGTAGGAACGGTAACTTGAACAACGCCTGTGTACAACACCGAAAATTCCACCAGTCATCTCATGAAATTCAGAGACGCCCAATTAGTGATCAAAGAAACTAATTTCCGCAGACGCAAGTGCCTCGAATCAGCACTGATCGCTGTTTCGAATTACAATTAAACAAAACAACGGCAGCTTCACCATCTCGAAGTCTTAGCAAGAATCCTCCTGAAAACAGTAAACCCTGCATCACATAGTCTCTCCTGTTATACTACACAAAGCACAGAGAGTGAACACTGAAAACAAGCTGCCTCATTCCAGTCTATATTTGTCCAACCTATTTTTATGTTACCCAAGTAATAGCTTTTATATCCTTTTACTCATGTACGAATTAACTGCTCTACCATATTGTATTACTTTTGTCACTACCACTACTACTACTACTACCACTAGTGAACATCGAAATGGTACCTCACTAGTATTACACCTCACTCTGAGCCTTTATATACCCTCTGTGTCCATGTATTGTTTGTAATGGCTTGATAAAGCTCCTGGAGAGTGAAACGTTGCCACAATAAATGTCACATTAGTTGCACTTGTGTCCTTTTACTTTACATACTATTATACAATGGAACCTCGGTTTTTGTATGCCTTAGCTTGTATGTAAAACTATAGTTATTCTCTATAAAATGTATTTTTTGGTAATATTTTTGGGTGTCTGGAATGGATTAATTAGATTTACATTATTTCTTATGAGAAATATTAACCAAAAATACATTTTATGGAGAATAACTACAGTTTTAC